TCTGTTGCACAAGCTGTAGTGCAGTGGCATGGTCTTGGCTCACTGCAACCTCCGCCTCCCAGGTTCAAGTGATTCTCCTGCCTCAGCCTCCCAAGTAGCTGGGTCTACTGCTGTGCAGCACTACACCTGGCTAATTTTTGTATTTTTAGCAGTAGTGGGATTTTGCCATGTTGGCTAGGCTGGTGTCGAACTTCTGGCCTCAAGTGATCTGCCAGCTTTAACCTCCCAAAATGCTGGGATTACAGGTGTGAACCACAACACCCAGCCTACAAAATTCTTTTTTAACAGCCTAAGTATTTTTATTTCCAGTGTGTTTTTCAGAAATGTAAGTAAAATAGTGTAATTCAGGGTGTATAAGGAAGCTTGTAGTATAATAATACATGAGGCTAGGTGCAGTGGCTCATGCCTGTTATCCCAGCACACTGGGAGGTTGAGGTGGGTGGATCACCTGAGGTCAGGAGTTTGAGGCCAGCCTGGCTAACTTGGCGAAACCCCATCTCTACTAAGAATACAAAAATCAGCTAGGCATGGTGGTGCATGCCTGTAATCTCATCTACTCGGGAGGCTAAGACAGGAGAATTGCTTGAACCCAGGAGGGGAAGGTTGCAGTGAGCCAAGATTGCACCACTGTACTCCATCCTTGGGTGACAGTGTGAGACTCTGTCTCAAACAAAACAAAACAAAACAAAACATGAATAAACCCTTCGTACAGAAAAAAGCATAATGAATACAACAACTAGCATCAAAGTCAGTGTATATAAGAATGGCTCAGTGACCATTAGTCATGTGAAAAGCTTAACAACTATTAAGCTCTTATTTTCTTACTAAAAAATAAGTCCTTTCAAGGCTATAGTTATGCTTTACACAAGGGGCCCTATTACTCACTAATTCTTAAAATTTCTTCCTAACTAAAATTTCTTTAGACATTTTCAAAGGTTAGTAAAGGAAGAGGTCAGATATGCTTACTTAAATCCTTGCTGGTTCCATGCCTGGCCATACATTCCATATGCAGGAACTTGCCAACCATTAGGCATATACTGGCCAATTTGCTGTGCATTTCCATACCACTGGCCCCACTGGCCATAAGGTTGTGGATATCCAATTTGACTCTGCTATTAAGTAAAATTTAGTATTATTTGAAGTTAACTGTATATATACAATCCTAATATGTTAATACCACAAATTCTTAACCAAAACAGACAGGGCTATCCTTATAATTAAAATGACAGGATAAACAAAAGTTGACTGCTAAAAAAAAAATTAAAAAGTGAGGTTAGACTGCTGTAACTCTATGTGATACTCTGAATGGCATAAATTTTGGAAGGCATCAGTTGATACCCTAGTAATAAATATTAAACTTAATAAAATGTTTAAGTGTTTGGCATACTATCCACATAACTGTTTCCTTTAGATAGAGAAGATATGATTACTTATTTCTATATTCAGCTTACTTAAGAAACGTATATAGTTTAGGATTTGCTTACTCCCATCTCTGTGCTCCATTTACAATTTCCTCATAGAAATCTTTCTGGAATCAAGTTTGAGTTACTAAAGCTGCCTGGAAAAAAAAAATAAGGCAGCAAAATCTGGAAGAAAAATGCCAAGGCCATAACTATATTTACAGCTTTATTTTCGTTTCAGTTGAGTCAAGCATGCTTGTGAGTTCTCCAAATAGTATGTGAATAAATCTACTAAGTATTAAAAAAAGATTTAATACCCTTTTAGGTTTCTCGGAGCATTTTAAATTCCACTGTGTGAGCATGAGTCAATTGAGGCGGTCACATTCATCATGTCACCACTGCAATCCATGAAACACCATTCTGGAACTATAATACATGTAGGAACAGCCCTTATGTACTGTCATTTTAGCTAGAAATTTATTAATAAGGATTATCAACAATCTTCACTTTAAAATATTATTATTAGTCCAACAATTATCTCTCCAAGTTAAGAACCCTCTCACCTGTTGCACGGGATTTATCATATCAAGGGTTTCTTTGCCCCAATAGCATTTCACAACATGACCTTCAATGGTAGTACCATTAACAGAAACAATTGCATGTGCTGCACTTTCATGGGAATTGAACCTATTGAAAACAATATTAAGAATCACCAATACAAATTTTTTTTAAATATTTAGGAATAAAACCTATTTTAAAAATCAGGGTGAGTCTGAGGTAAAACAGTTTGCATAAAACAATCAATAACATGGCACATTTTCTTTGCTATTTTTTTTCAAAGATCTTGTAGTTCTGGGAAAACTTGTATTAACAGAGAATGTGTATTTGCTGGCCTTGTGTTAGGAGGGAGCTATAAAATCACAGAGGTGGCCGGGCGCAGTGGCTCACGCCTGTAATCCCAGCACTTTGGGAGGTAGGCTGTTCACGAGGTCAAGAGATCGAGACCATCCTGACCAACATGGTGAAACCTGTCTCTACTAAAAATACAAAGATTAGTTGGGCATGGTGGTGTGCATCTGTAATCCCAGCTACTCAAGAGGCTGAAGCAGGAGAATTGCTTGAACCCAGAAGGTAGAGGTAGCAGTGAGCTGAGATCATGCCACTGCACTCCAACCTGGGCGACAGAGCAAGACCCTGTTTCAAAAAAAAAAAAAAATCACAGTGGCAAATATGTTAGATGCTAGAGAAATTGCGATTTCTTTTTTCTTTTGTGCAACGGACTCTGGCTCTGTTGCCCACACTGGAGTACAGTGGTTGTGATCTTGGCTCACTGCAACAACCTCCACCTCCTGGGTTCCAGTGACTCCTGCCTCAGCCTCCTGAGTAGCTGGGATTACAAGCATGTGCTGCCACACCTAGCAAATTTTTGTTTTAGTAGACACGGGGTGGTTTCACTATGTTGGCCAGGCTGGTCTGAAACTCATGACCTCAGGTGATCCACCCGCCTTGGCCTAACAAAGTACTGGGAATACAGGTGTGATTCACTGCATCCGGCCGAAATTTCCTTATCTTTAACCAATGTAAATTTTTAAGAAAACAATGTAAGTCTTCAAAAAATATTTTGAAGGAACAAGTTTTTAATTTTTATTTCTTTTCTGATTTTCCAGTTATATTACCAAGGAAAAGGTTTTTTTAAAAAACCATCCTTACCGAACAAATGAATATCCTTTATCTGGAAAGACTCGAATTTCCATTATTTGTCCAAATGGTGAAAAAGTCTGACGCATTAGTTGTTCTGTTAGACAAAAAACAAAAACAAATCACACTAAGTTATAAATAAATCCTACAAACATTAAGCTTTGCACTTTAAATATTAATGCCACACAGGGAAGACTCCCATACCTGTTAGCCCAGAAGTAACACCTCCACAGTACACAGTACAGTTGCTTGGACTAGACTGATTTACAACCTCATCATATGATAGCTGTTTGGTATTTGCTGGTGAGAGAAAAGGTTTATGTCTTTAATTCATTAAATAAAATGTGCAGAAAGAGAAAAGCAGCATTCACTACACTACTGTAAAGGTAACATTAACCTTGATCAAAATGCTCATATTATACACATTATATTTCAGTCCAGGATTAAACCTCCCCAACAAATGTCTAAAAAATTACCCAGTATTTTCTACTTAATAGGAGACTTGACATTAGAAATAATATTATTTATAATTACAAAAATGAAAACTAAGTACATTTTTGAACAGTAGTCTTGATTTGCTTCTCATCTATTTCTGCAATAAGTCTCCGGGAACAGCTCTAACATTTAAAATCTATTGTATTTTTCTCCAAAATTCCACATTTCCTTTTCTTCTCCAATACACCTACACTCATATGTACTCTTTGGAGCGGGAGGCTTTCGGGTTGCCCAGTTAGTTCTGATTTGTCTTCCACCAAGCCACTGGCCACCCATCTGTTGAATGGCGTTTTCAGCATCCTGTTCCGCACAACATTAGAAACAATAAAGAAGTCACTATTAGTTGATGTTAAACAACTTTTAGCAGTAGAGAAAACTTGGTGCTTTTCACAAACATTTTAAGTGAAAATGCCTTGCGAGGCCGGGTGCAGTGGCTCATGCCTGTAATCCCAGCAATTTGGACACTTACATTGTTACCTTAAACTCTTTGGCCGAGGTGGACAGATTACGAGGTCAGAAGATTGAGACCATCCTGGCCATGGTGAAACCCCATCTTACTAAAATACAAAAAATTAGCCGGGTGTGGTGATGCATGCCTGTAGTCCCAGCTACTCAGGAGGCTGAGGCAGGGGAATCACTTGAACCCAGGAAATGGAGGTTGCAGTGAGCCTACATCATGCCACTGCACTCCAGCTTAGCGACAGAGCAAGACTCCATCTCAAAAAAAAAAAAAAAAAAAAAAAAGAAAATGCTTTACAAAAAATATCATAGGTTTCCTAAAATGCAATGGTGCTTTTAATTTTTAAATTTATTTTATTTTATTTATTTATTTTTTGAGACAGAGTCTTGCTGTGTCGCCCAGGCTGGAGTGCAGTGGTGTAATCTTGGCTCACTGCAACCTTTGCCAACCAAGTTTGAGCGATTCTCCTGACAGTCTCCTGAAGAGGTGGGATTACAGGCACCCACCACCATACCTGGATAATTTTTGTATTTTTAGTAGAGATGGGGTTTTGTCATGTTGGCCAGGCTTCTTGAACTTCTGACCTCAAGTGATCTGCCCAACTCAGCCTCCCAAAATGCTAGGAGTATAGGCGTGAGCCATCATGCCCAGCCCAATGGTGCTTTTTAATTATTTTTCTTTTATTTGAATATTAAACTTTGAGAATATTAATCATCTGAAAAAGTCCTGAGCCCAAAAGCCGTAACGAGGTACATATCATAAACTTCATACAACTCAGACTAGTATAGAGGAAAATCTTAAACAAATAAGCCTGTTAACAACAACATTTGGTTTCTCATTTATCCAACAAATAAATATTGTAGTTATGTTCCAGGCACGAGGTTAAGGGAGAGCTAGGGATACAATGGTAAACAGGTATACATGATCTCTTACATTCTTTTGTAGGGAACAAATAAACCAATTACAAATTGTTGTAAGAGCTATGACAGAAACAAAAGGCTGAGATAGAGAATGTAGGCACAAGGATCTACTATAGACTGGATGAATAAAGAAGGTCTTTTTGAAATAACTTTTAAACTGAGCCTGAAAGCAGCAGGAGCTAGCCAAGTTTAAACAATGGGGAAGAAAGCCCCAGTGGAGAGAAAGGTATTCCAAAGTGTGTTAAAGCACAGAAGAGTTTAGTATGCATCTAAAAGAAGCAGGTGAGGGAAAACTAGCTTCAATGGAACCTAGTGAGCAAAAAAGAATGTCAGAGAATGAAACTGAAAGAGTTTAAGCAAGGAATCGTCATAATCTATGTTTTAAGAAGGCCACTCTTAGTGCTAAGAGGAAAATGGCTTAGGGTAATGGGTAGTAAGGGGATAAAGATACTTTGAAAAGTTTGAAGACATATAAATGAAGACTTTGTTAATAAGTGTGGAACAGAGAAACAGACTGGAGATACAAAATTCATGCAGACTAGAGAAAGGGCCTAGGACAGAGCCCTGAAAACAGCAAAAATTGAAACATGGGTAAAGGAATAATCACTAGCTAAGGTGACTAAGGAGGAGCAGCCAGTGATGAATGAAGAAACCCACAAGAGTACGGTCAAGGGAGCCAAGAAAAGACGTTAAGAGGTGACCTTGAAGCCGGGCGCGGTGGCTCACGCCTGTAATCCCAGCACTTTGGGAGGCCGAGGCGGGTGGATCACGAGGTCAAGAGATCGAGACCATCCTGGTCAACACGGTGAAACCCCGTCTCTAC